ATTTTATTAATTATTTGAGAATTTCATGTGATGTAATTTGAATATTGCCCTCAACTTTTATTATCCTCCTCTACATCCTCTCATCTCTTCCTACCATACTTTGTGATTTCTTTTTTCCCTCTCTTCCCCATTGAGTCCAGTTTCTGTTGCTCACCTAGCCTTAGGCCTGATATGTAATCAACCCATCAGGGTCTCATCATTGAAGGAAATTGACTCTCCCCTTTCCAGGAGCTTATCAGCTAGACTTGGTACTTCATATTTCCTCTCCTCACTTTGTGCTGGGTTTTTATCTGGTGATGCCTATGTAGTTTTTGTGTAGGCTGTCACAGTTACTCTAAGTTCTTATGTTCATCTCTCTTTTTGTCTCCAGAAAACACTGCTTCCTTGATCTTATTAATCATTGAAGGCTCTTACAACATTTCTGCTTCCTCTTCCACATGATACTTAAACCCTCTGGGAAGGAGTGTGTTATGATTTAAGGGTGAGCATGTCACAATGCTTTATTCTCTGCGCATCAAACAGTTGAGTGTCTCTGCATTAATTGCCATCTCCTGTGGGAGAAATTTCTCTGATGAAAAGTAAGACAGTTCTGGACTGTGGATATAGTAGTAAGTCATTAGGAATCATTGTATCACTCTACTGTTAGTCCATTAGACTGATAGATTTGACCACAGAGTCTTAGCCCTTGAACAGTTGTAGATATGGTTGCTGTCTAACAAAATCGGCCTTAGATTCCATCAGAAAGCAGTTGTTGCTCTCATGATATTGGTGTAACTATTTCACTACTGGGCACGACTTACCAGGTCAGGCATTGTTGTAACTTGCTGGGTCACAGCTGGGTGAAACTGAGAAGAACTTTTCTCCCCCAGTACCATGGATATCATATCACAGCACAACATATACTAGCCAATAGGAATGAAGCTTCTAGATGAGTAGCAGCTTCATTTCTTCATGTTCTGTGACTCAAAAATATGTCATCAAAATACTGATTTTCCATAGAGTTCTGGAGAGTGACCTGGAATATTGACAATAACCTGTGATAGTTAAGGATCCATGTAATTCTATTGGCCAGTCATTCAATGTAATCTTTGACTGGTCCTGAGGCATGTATATGATGTATGTGTATTTGCATTTTTAAAGCTACTATAGTAGTAGTTTTTCATAAGTTTTTCAAAGGGCCTTTGGTGTGACTTATTTATCTCTTCTCATTCACACTTTTACCTTACTAACTCATGTTCCTTTCATCTGTGATTTTATTTATTTGGTCTTTTCTCTTTTCTTTGATTATTTTGGCTAAAATTTGCCAATCTTGTTAACCAAGTTTGTTAACAAAGTTCCTACTGTTTGCTTTTTGTTTGTTTGTTTCTATTTTAATATTTTCAGCCCTGACTTCTGTTATCTCTTTTTGTCTAACATTTTAGGTGTTGTTTGTTCTTATTTTTACTAGTCTTTCACATGCACTTTTAAATTATAATTATTATGTGAAGTCTCCAATTTTTATGTAGATCTTAGTGCTACAAATATTCTTCATAGCAGCTTTTCAATTGTGTCCCATAGATTTTCATATGTTGTGTTTTTAATTTCATTCAAGGTTAGGAATGTTTTAATTTCCTTCTTTATTTCTTTCTTAACCCAGTATCCATTCACTAGTATGCTATTAAATTTCCATGAGTTTGTGTCCTTTCTGATATTTCTATTGTTAGCAATGTCTATCTTTATCTTTTTATGGTCAGATAATATGCAGGATACAATTTCAATTTTCTTAAATTCTTCAAGATTTGTTTTGTGTCCTATTATGTTTTCAATTCTGGAGAAAGTTCTATGGATTTCTGTGAAGAAATTATATTCTTCTGAGCTTGAATAGAAGGTTCTGTAATATATTTTAGGTCTATTTGATTGATGATGTCATTTAGCATCATAGTTTTTCTAGTTTTTGTCTAGATGGCTTATCAGTTGATGGAAGTGGGGTATTTAAGTCATCGCTGTCACTATGTTTGAGTCAGTCTGTGAATTTATATTTAATAATGTTTGTTTTATGAGACTGGGTGCCCATGTGTTTGGTGCATAAATGTTTAGAAATGTAATGTCTTCTTAGTGGAGTTTTTTCTTTAATGAGTGTGGGATGTCCTTACTCATCTCTTTTGGTTAATTTCATTTTTGAAGTTTGTGGGTGGGCTCAGACCTTCCTCACAGTCCCACTTGAATTTGAAGATTTGTTTTTGCATTAGAATATTTAAGCATATGAGAGTGAGTCGTTAGATTATTCTGAGTAATATTATTACTTTTATCCTGATTTCATTTCAGATCATTTTTGTATAAAGTCACAACTGGACTTATTTTTTTGTCCTGAAATTGTACTACAATCATTTATTAGCTTTGATTGATTTTACACAAATTGATATTACATGTGATTTTCTACATATTTTATCACACTTCATTAATATTATTGTACTTTATCCTTCCTAATTTAGGTTCCCCTATTTTATTTATTTGTTTAATTTTTTCAGACTAAGATTTCTATTATTATGTGAAATAATTCAAAAGTACATGCTTTTAGATTTTATTTCCATACTAAATTTAGAATAAAAATTTGAACTTTTGTAACACAGTGTA